CGTCTGGGTTTTGATAACATGTTTCTGAATTCAAATGGGTCTTAATATCTTACCACACCATACTGTTATAATCATCAAATCCATACATCATGTCCACAGACAAGCGAAGTGTACATTTCACAAAAACAATCCATGCTAACATATCAAGTGTGTGAGCTAATGTATTAACACAAGTCGTCGCTTGATTACGTAATAAGGCACTGATCTCTATATAGACTTACATACACGAGGTAGTTGTGCCTCATCAGACCTCTTCCTAGTATGTGCCACTACTACCTGCAACACAAAGTGAATATAATTAGTGCATTCTTTAGATTGGTAGCCAATGCACTATGAAACCCCTCCTCTTGACCTCTGAAATAATCCTTACTAGAAATTCCTTTTTGGGCTCATGACACAAAATTATCCAATTCTGAACCATAGCAGCAATTTTGTTCAAAAGCCCTTCCATACTCAAACCCACTCTGTGAACACAAATCGTTTCTCTATTTCCACAACCTACACAAAGCAGTAGAAGTAATAATATTGAACACACAATTTCTTTTGTACTAAGCCAAAATTGACCTATATCTTGAATCAAAAGAACTCTCTAGGCAACATAGCGCATTCAAAGAATAGATGATTACAGTTTCCTTTTCACAACAAAAGAGGTGAGAAGTATCATCCAATTTACTGCTCTGCTAATAACTTGAAGAATATGGGAATATAAGGAAGATAGTAAGGTCTGTAGATATCTAGACGTCCGCTAGGTCTCCAATAGCGGATAACACAGGCAGGGGTGGCATAAACTTTTCTACGGTTCATGTCATATGCAATCAGTGTTCTTTCCTCCCCAACAAAAAAATCAAATTATATTCTGGGTGGACTGTAATCACTTTGTAGTCTGCATCACAAAGCTCAGAACCAAATTTAATATTTTTTTGTGTCCAAACAGCTGTAGCGTGTTCGCAATATGCTTAATGTCTATTTATTAGTACTATGGTCTTCAAGGATCCAAATTAAAAGCTGGGACATATTGCCAATATCAGCAATACACATATACAAGTGACCCTAAGCTTGATGAATGGAGCTTTCAGCACCACATGGCTTAAGAATTTTCCTCGATGTCTTTCTCTCTATATCCACAACAACTATGGAAGAGTACTCCAGCGTGTGTATAAAACCATTAAGAAACACACTTCTTGATTTTGAACGTAGCACAATACCCTTGCTTCATTCAGATTCTTTAAAGATCCATGCTGTAGTTTTAGATGAGTAGATCTCCACAACTAGGGTCCTTTGTTGGAAACATCTGGAATAAAGCCTCCTTGATCTCCCCTTCATTGTAAGGATCAAGTAATTTTCTGTTCATCTCCGATGTCACCTTCGTTGGTACGGTGGACAACACCTCGTCCATGTCTTCCATCCATTCCCAAGCATACAACTTTTTATAGAAGTTGGAAGTCATGGTACGGAGCTTGATCTCATCTTCAATAAACTGTACATCTTGCTTTTTCAACTGTGTGATCTTGTTTTGACTCCTCCGACTCACCTTAAGATGAAAGAAGCGAGTATTCTTGTCTCCAGTCACTAGCCACATAATTCGCGACCGTTGTCTCCACATTAGTTCTTCCCGATGACTGAGTTCTCGTATGCGCTCAACCAGTCTTAGTTTCCCAGGGGATGACCCCAGTCATAGCGAATCAAACTGCATAGATTTCCAGATCCTTATTCAATTTCCACAGCTCGTCGAACATGGCCAAAGGTTATGCCCAGACACACCTTTCAATTTGTCTTGCAGCTCGTGCATGGACGTTGCCTCCCTGTCCCTCTGCTAGGAGTCCGCTAGTGTGCCTAGAAAATCCAGGTGTGTCTTCCACGTCTGCTCATATCTGAAACGTCTTCTCTAATGCCTCCGTTGACCCTCAAGTCTCCAAACCAGTACAATTGGACCATGATCCAAAGCAGCCGTAGCCAAGTGCTTAACCTTTGCATGTGGAAATCTACTACACCAGTCTGCATTGGCAAAACCGCAATCCAACCGAACATGGCAATATGATCCTCCTGCAACCTTTTTCTCAAAGGTCCAACTATGACCCTCAAAGCCATGGTCGTTGACGCCGCAAACATCAACCATCTCTCGGAAACCCTCAATTTGAGCCCTGCTCCTTTCATGAACACCCACATGCTCCGACTGATGTAGAACTTCATTAAAATCACCAACACAAACTCACGACAGTGGGGACAATGATCTAATGAATTTAAGCAAACTTCAAGTTTTATGTCGCTCGCTTAACTGCACTTCCCCATATACACATGTCAACCTCCAGGGCTTACTATTGCCCTATGTAACAATAGCATCAATGTGATATTGTGAGTATGGTAAAAATTACACTCGAGTTTTATTATTCCAAAAGATACCCAGGCCGCCACTGCGACCCGTACTGCTTATAGCAAAAGGGTGATCAAAGCCTAAAGTACTCTTCAAACTTTCCACCCATGTGCACTTGAGTTTCCAAACATAGAGTACAAATGGGGCAACTCACCTCGCCAACTCGCGAAGCTCTTTCCACGACCTCCAACCTGACCACGCCCATCCCGCATTTACACCCACCACGATCAGCACCATCCTGAGGTGCCTCACGATTGCCAGCTGCATTACTCCGAAACCTTAGAGTACCCGGATGCCATATCTCTGCGTCAGCTACCATCCAATCCCCAAACTGAGATCGATCTCCAAGTACTCGGCAGCACCACACTCCAAGTGAACATGGCCCATGAGGCCACAATGAGCACAGAAGGGTGGCAGCTTCTCATACTTGACTTGAAGCACACACTTGTTCTACCCCTTAGGAGTGAGGGTAACAAAGTGAACTAAAGGCCTCGTGGCCATCAGTTTCACTCGAACCCGATGGAAATCTTCTGTTCTAAATATCAACTCAATCATTCGATGCGCCCCTCTCAGCCGGCCCAATGCATGTTTGAATTCATGTGTTTGCCAATTAATGGGTTTGAATTTGTAGATTTAAATATTAGTTATTTGTATAAAATCATAATATTATTGTTTGAAATTATGTAAGTCAAATTGGTACTACCTTTATCCCAAAAAAATGCAACTATGGTTGCGCGACAGTTAAAGTGGTTCACATTTGACCAAATTTCTAGTGAACAATATTCACATTTATGCCTCCAAATCACTTTATTAAAAAATACATTTAATAAATAGTCTAATGATATTTATTTGATATCATAAGTATTGATAGTTTATTTATAATCAAATTTAAGATACTATAATATGTTCCTGTGCTAGAATTGCATTCTTTCATGGACTGAGGGAGTAGATTACATAGAGAAAGTGGTAAAATAGAGAAGAAAAAAAATATGGTCTTAATTTGATAGCTCCAGCTAAAGTTGAGCATAGAAAATATTACACCTAAAAATATTAGGGAAAATTGTGTTCTTACCTTGTTCAGGAGTCTAATTGTAATTTTATCCCTGTTTTTTTAACTTTATGATTTTACCCTTACTTTTTTAAATGAAAACTCCGTTTACCCCTATTTTGGATCACCGTCAAATGCACTTGGAATAAATAAATAAAAAATCAAAAGATCTAAACACAACGGCAAAAGACCAAATTGCCTCTTATCTCTTCATTCTCTTCGTCATCTGTTGAGAAGAAAACAGAGGCACGAGTCGCTCTCTCTCTCTCGCGCACGCGTCGGGGTGAAGAACCGGGCCTGGCAGCGGCGCGTGGTTCGGCGGCGGCGGGCTGGGCGGCGGCGCGCGGCGCTCGGGGCAGTGCGCGGGGCCTGTGGTGTGGCGGCGCAGCACGGGGCATGCCAGCCTGTGGTGAGCGGCGGCTAGGGGCGGGCCAGGCCCAGGTGAGGGGCGGTGAAGGGTCGGGTGTTTGGAGTCGGAGTAGACGAAGACCGCGAGGTCGAACACCAAAGCGGCAATGGCGGACGCATGGGGAGCTGGTGCAGATTCGAAGACTTGGCTCGCCGCCACGCGAGATAAGGATTTGGAACTCGCGGCACAGGAATGAGATGAGGATGACTATCGGTGGATCCGCTGTCATGTTTTTTTTTTTCTTTTCATTTCCTTTTCATTTTTTTATTTTCTTCTTTTCGTTCAATCCTGGCTCTTGAGAAACGCGGCTACGAGCCTACAGGTGATCATCAGGCATTCAGGCGTCCAAGACCTTCGACCCATTTGTTTTCAAACAAATTTATTATGGATTTAGGTGTGGAATTAAAATATCACCTAAATATAAATGTATTATCCAAATCAGGGGTAAAATCACAAATACTCATAAGAACCAGCGGCAAAATCACATGGGCATTTTTGTCCTATCGTACAAAAGTTAACACCGTTAGGGGAGGATGATGAAATAGGGATAAAGTAGTGTTTCGTTTTGAAAACGTTAGAGTAAATTCACAGAGTTAAAAAAATAAAGTCAAAATCATAATTTAGATACAAAATAGGGGTATAAATGCAAGAGCCCAAAATATTATTATAGACCTAAATCAGAAGCCTCTAAATATCTCAGGAGGCTCCTTCCGCTGGAGAACAACGGCGATATCGCCGATCAAAATCAAATAAAAAAGTTTCACCAAAAAAAAATTCAAATCAAAATGAAAAAAAAAGCAACGCACATATCGTACCTACGTGCTGGTGCCCCACCGAATCGCTGCACCTGCGTGAACAAATCCACTTGCCGATTCGAATGGTTCGGTTGCCGGCCTTGACACTTTGGTGAGACCATGCTGCAGCTGCTTTTTTTTAGAATCCTGGAGGGGCCTACAGTTGAATTTATTTAAATTAAATTGTTACGTTTTTTTTTAGGATAATTAAATTGTTAAGTAAAGGAGATGCTGCAGCTGCTCGGGCCAGCTCTTGTTGTCCCCGTCGAACTCTGTTGTCGTTTCCACCGACAACCCTGTCGTCTCAGCATAGGCCGGGCCGGAGGCAGGTAGAGAGAGCAGAGAATGGGTGGAGTAGCGGCCAGGAGCAGGAAGGAGATGGGGGCGGGCGTGGTGATCGTGCTCTCGCTATTGCTTGCTCCTGAGCTCCTGCCGCGCGCTTCGGCCGTTGATCGCAGCGAGTTCCCTGAGAACTTCTTGTTCGGGACCTCCACCTCTGCTTACCAGGTACGCCGCTGCCGCTGAAAATAGTGCCGTGCCCATTCCTTCCTCTTGCATTCTTTAGCCTGGGATGCGTTGCCTTGCAGTTCTTTAAGGTAGCGTTTGGTTGGAGGGACAAGGTGGCATGGGATGGGACGGACCTGGGACGAGCAACGTTTGGTTGAGGGGCGAGCAGGAGTGAGGATGTCCCTCGTGCGAATATACCGTGAGATGCGGGATGACCCCCGTCCCCAAAATTTTCACGGACGGGGCCGACCCAGGTGGGATGGGCGGCTCGCTGCAAAGAAGAAAGAAGAGGAGGAGCGTCGGTCACCGGTCACAGACGGGGTCATGCGGGTGAGTGCGCCGTTGCCGCTTCTGCGGTGGCGCAGGGTCGGCGGGCGAGCTCCGCCACCACCGGCTCCCACGCGCCGGCCGGGGGGTGAGCTCTGCCCCGGCTCCGGCACGCGACCAAGGCGGGTGAGCTCCGCCCGGCTCCGCAAGCGGTGGCGGCGGAAGCGCTGGCTGGGTGGAGAGCAGCAAGACCGGGCAGCAAGCACCCTAGCTCCGCTTCTAACTCGTGGCGCCCATGGCGAGCAAAGGCCCCAACTCCGCGGGCAAGCAAGGCGCCCTTGGGATGAGCATGACGGGAAGACGAGCGGGCAGCGAGAGGTGGCGCATGTGGGGGTGAGCTCCGCGCCGGCCATGCCACAGTGTTCATCTCTGCCACCATGCATGCCTCATGAAGCGAGGAAGAGGCGGCGGCGGCAGAGGTCTGGACGGAGCAGGGGGAGGAAGAGGAAGAGTGGGCGAGGTTCGGGAGAAAGAGATAAGGAGAGAGAGAGAGAGAGAGAGAGGAAGAGATAAGGAGAAGAGAAGGAAAAAAGAGAAAAAAAGAAAAAAAAAAACTTACAAATGGGTCCCACTTGTCGGTAGCTCATCCCACTTTTTATGTCTCTTAACCAAACACAAAATGGGTCGATCCCATCCCTCGTCAACCAAACAGAAAATGGAGTCGTCCCATCCCATAAATCAGAGACAAGACCGTCCCACTCCACCTTGACTTCCAACCAAACGCTACCTAACTTCGTTGACGCTGTTATCTGATTCTTCAGATTGAAGGAGGATATTTGGAGGCGGGTAAAGGCCTAAGCAATTGGGATGTCTTCGCCCATAAGCGAGGTGAACTGGTGAAGCATGCCAGTTTGTATAACTGCCCAGTTACAGTCTAGGCACAGTCTTGTGTTACCTTTTTGCTATTCCAACAATGTCAGGTACAATTCAGGATGGGAGCAATGGTGATACAGCTGATGATCACTATCATCGTTATATGGTATGCCTTTTGGTTTTGTAAAGTACAAATAATTTCTGCAGAATTGCTATGTATGTTGGATGATACAGTGGGGAATCCACACTAGAGACCAGAGATGTTCTGATACATTTTTGCCACATCCGTACAACCCCCGAAACTGAAAGTATGTTCTCTGCTCCAGGAAGACATAAACCTGATGCATTCCCTGGGTGTCAACGCATACCGATTCTCAATAGCGTGGGCAAGGATTCTACCAAGTGAGTTTAGTTTAACACACTTCAACCTGTGCAGTCACTTCATTTCCTAAGGTATATTTGTTGTTTTGTCAAGTTAGTTAAATATTGGCTTTCTCACACGGTTATAAATCAAATTCTTGCTGCAGGAGGCCGATTTGGGGAAGTTAATCCAGATGGTGTAGCATTCTACAATGCCATTATCGATGCTCTTCTACAGAAAGGTATTCAACAAGGACTCTTGCAATTAGCACAGTTCTGAATATATGCAGTTGTTTACTGCTTTCAGAAACAGGTATGCAGCCATTTGTAACAATATATCACTATGACATTCCACATGAATTGGACAAGAGATATGGTGGATGGTTGAGCCCAGAAATTCAGTATGTTTGTTGTCTTGCCCTAAATATGCCTCTCTTGATTGGTTAGTTTGTTTGACTATTAAAAACCTTCCAGGAAGGACTTTGGTTACTTTGCAGATGTATGCTTCAAGATGTTTGGTGACCGAGTAAAGTTCTGGACAACTTTTAATGAGCCAAATTTGTTCACAAAGTTAAGCTATATGTATGGGCGATATGCTCCTGGTCGCTGCTCTAAACCATTTGGTAATTGTGCTTTTGGCAATTCTTCAGCAGAGCCATATATAGCAGGTCACAACATCATACTGTCTCATGCAAAAGCAGCTCGCATTTACAGAAAGAAGTATCAGGTATGAACCACACACTCCCTACACATGAGTTATTAACTTTCGAAAACAACATCATTGAATTGAAGCTTTGTTAATAAAATCTGTACAACAAGAAAAACTTAGTATCTTTGGCATCTGGTAGGGGAAACAAGGTGGTCATATTGGAATTACTGTTTGCTCAAGATGGTATGAACCATTCCAGAATTCTTCTGCAGACATCTCAGCAGTTGAGCGGGTTCTCTCTTTCAATGGTCCATGGTACTCCACTTTTTCTTTTAGAATGATAAGTTTGGATACAAATAGCACTTCATGTCCTACATAAAGCCTAAGTGAAACACTTTGTTTCCCAACAATAAACCTAAGCATGTAATGTTATTAGTCAAGTCATCTCGACCATATGTTCATACTCTGTGCGCTTTGTTGTTCATTTTCTTTCTTTTCGTTCATTCATTTTGTGCACTGGTTAACTTGTTTGCTTATGCTAGGTTTCTGGACCCTATTATTCATGGTGATTATCCCCTAGAGATGTACAAAATCTTAGGTTCAAGCCTACCTGAATTCACATCAAAACAGAAGAAGAAACTACAGGCCACAAAATTGGATTTCATTGGGCTAAATCATTATACGAATCATATTTGAAGGACTGCATTTTCTCACAATGTGAATTGGATCCCTTTGAGGGGGAGGCCCGAGTTCTTACTTCAGCAGAAAGAGATGGAGTACTTATCGGTAAAAGGGTAAATATGTGTTGTTAAAATGATAATTTGTTTGTGTTAAAAAATGATAATTTATTTAAAATGCAATAGTACAAAGACCTAGTAGTGAGAAGGTTGTTCAGCTTCCTTGCTCATTCAGGTCCAAGTCCTAGGATCAGCTGAAGTGCTTCTCTCTTTTTTCTGTGGTGAAATTCTGAGCTCTTGACCAATTTTTAGATGAAGACAAACTAATTTGAAAACATGAAGGGAAGAATATGGATGATTAATCGTGGTTGCACTCTTTCATGCAGACCGGGTCGCCAATGATTTATACTGTTCCATATGGGATGGAAAAACTGGTCATGTATTACAAAGAAAGATACAATAACACACCAATATACATCACAGAAAATGGTATGAATCCTACTTGTTTTGTTTCAAGGCTAGTATAGTAATTATGCTAAATTTATAGCTTATGTGCTTTTGATCAGTGTAGATTGAGTAGGACACTGCCCAAGCACAAACAGCCCTACGCACCGGGCTGTTGGCCCACAGGATCACCGGCTCAGGTGAGTCGACCACTCACCAGTCTTGCCGAGCACCCGCTAGTGTTGCCGAGCACCCACTAGCCGTGCCGACCACGAACGAGCGTTGTCCGTCCCCACACAATATGGCTAGAGGTAGAAGAAGAAGGAAGAACAGAGCATACACACAGCAGAGATACCAGCGTTGACCGGAGTCCTGTATAGGAGCTGACAAATCTGAACTCTCTTTACTGAGTTGCCGTGGCAGTCTATTTATACAACTCTATCCATCTAGTCCTAGTACAGCTGTCATGCTGCAACAGTGACTAGATAACACAGCACGGTTGACTCTGCGCCGGCCTCTGCATGTTGCTACAGTGCTGCAGGTGAGACGTGTGGCGCCTGCACCTGCATCAGCTACAGTGTCACAACAGGGGGCCTTTTCGGCGCCGCCTTCCCTTGCTGTGTTCACACAAGGTAGCAGTAGATTATCTAACAATCTTCTCCTAATTCTATTGCTAACCCTTGTACCCTCTCCATGCCGATCATCTCCTTCAGCTCCGTGAGTCGAAGACGTCCGAGCAGCTTGGTGAGGATGTCCGCGAGTTGCCGACCAGTTTCGACGAACTCGATGACGATCTACCCTCCATCGACACAGTCCCTAAGGAAGTGGAACTTCACGTCGATGTGCTTGCTCCGGTCGTGCAAAACCGGATTCTTTGCTAGGGCGATGGCGGGCTAGTTGTCCACCATCAGTGATGGTGGGTGAGCTTCCACGCCGGTCAGCTCGCCCAGCAGCTGGTGACCCGGCTTAGCCACACAACTTGGCACGCCGCTGTGGCCGCTGCGACGTACTCTTTCTCGCACGTAGATAGCGCCACCACCTTTTGTTTCAGCGACAGCCATGAAATTGGGGCCGACCCGAGGAAGACGAGCACGCCAGAGGTGCTTCGTCGTTCGTCGATGTCCCCCGCCATGTCTGCATCGCTGAAGACAGTGAGCTGCAGCCTACTTCTGCCGATCTTGGGGAAGACGATCCCATGATCCACCGTCCCCTTGATGTAGCGCAGTAGCCACATCACTGCAGCCCAGTGATCCTCTCTGGGATCCTTAATGAAGCGACTGACGTAGCCCACGGCGAACGCGATGTCCGACCTCGTGTGGACTAGGTAGCGCAGACCACCGACGATGCTCCGGTAGAGTGTTGCATCCACCTTCACCGCGGTGCTGGCCTTCGTCAGCTTCAGCCGCTCCTCCATTGGAGTCACTCATGGCTTGCACTCAGCCATGTCACCCCGCTCCAACAGCTTCAAGGCGTACGCGCTCTGACCAAGCATGAGTGCCTCCCTCCCCTGTCTCACCTCGATGCCGAGGTAGTTGGTGAGCGCCCCGAGATCGCTCATTCAAAAATGAGCCGCCATTTCGTGCTTGAAGCTGTTGATGTCCTCCGCACACGCGCCAGTGACGATCAAGTCATCCACATACACGCCGACGATGAGCTCTTCCTTCCCCTATCGCCGCGTGTAGAGCGCGCGCTTGGTTGCGTACCTCGTGAACCCAAGCTCGCCCAGCATGGCGTCAAGCTTGGCGTTCCATGCTCGCGGGGCTTGCCGTAGCCCGTAGAGCGCCTTGCGTAGTCGGAGCACCCTGTGCTCCTCTCCCTTGACAGCGAAGCCTGGAGGTTGCCTGACGAAGACCGTTTCCGCCAGCTCACCATTGAGGAAGGCCGATTTAACGTCCAGATGATGGACGTGCCAGGCCTTTGTTGCTGCCAAGGTAGTAGCAAACGGACAGACTCCATGCGCCCTACCGACACAAAGACTTCCTCGAAGTCGATGCCCTCGCGCTGTACAAAGCCTCGGGTCATGAGGCACGCCTTGTGCTTGACAACGGCGCCGTGCTCGTCCCGCTTGACCTTGTACACCCACTTCAGGCTGATCGGACGACATCCTGGAGGTGGATCGATGAGCTGCCAAGTCTCATTTTCCTCGATTGCCTTCATCTCCTTCGGCATCGTCCGTCGCTAGTTTCCATTTTCCATCGTGCTGGGCTAGCGCGAACGTGGATGGTTCCTCTGCACTGACTAGTAGCAGCTCTGCGTCATTGAGCAACCTACCCGCCAGACTTGAGGGACCTGTGCCACCGACGATGTTGTCCAGCCTGTGGAACCGCACCTCCTCACCTTTGTGGTAGGCATCCACAAACTCAGTGATGTCACTTGGAGGTGAGGCGAACTCGATCGGCATCGATGGAGTTCCCTGTTCCGCCTGAGTGCTCGGCAGAGTACCTGGAGTCCTTGGCACCCCGGATGCAATGCTCGGCACTACTTCTGGACAGCTCGTCACAACTCATGCAGTGCTCGGCACGACTGCAGGAGTGTTCAGCCTCAGTATTGGAGTGGTTGGCACCACTGTAAGACCTCTTGGCTCCGCTACGGGAGTGCTCAGCACCTGTCCTGGAGTGGTCGCCGCCACTATAGAACCTTCCGATACCACTCCTGGCGTGCTCGACATCCCTCCAGGAGTGCTCGGCATCCCTCCCGAAGTGCTTGGCACTGCCCCAAGAGTGCTCGGCTCTACCGCTGGAGTGCTCAGCACCTCTTCCCCAGCGTCTCCACCACCATGGATGACCAGGTGCTCAACGACGAAGTTGTTGGTGAAGCCGCTAGCTTCCCCCATGCTCAGACTGGTCTAGTCCCAAGCCACCTTCTCGTCGAACACGACGTCGTGCGAGACAAGCACCTTATCTCCACGTGGGTCATAGAGTCGGTACGCCTTGGTACCCTCCGCATAGCCTAGGAACACCATCAGTGTGCTCCTGTCCTCTAGCTTGGTGAGGTTCGGCTTCGTCTTCCTGACATGGCCGATGCAGCCGAATGTCCAAAGGAAGGACACACTCAGCTTCCACCCATACCAAGCCTCGAATGGTGTCTTGCCCATCAGGGCCTTGGTGGGAGCGCGGTTGAGGATGGACACCGCAGTGGTCACCGTCTCACCCTAGAACCTTGCCGGCATTCCCTTGGCCTTCATCATGGATCGAGCCATGCCGACCACCGTCTGGTTCCATCGCTCCACCACGCCATTCTGTTGTGGCGAATATGGCACGGTGTGGTGTCGCACCACACCCTGTTCCGCGCAGTACGCAATGAAGTCCACCGAAGTGAATTCGCCACCGCGATCAGTCCTCAGCGTGCGGAGCTTCTTGCCGCTCTCGGCCTCAGCGCGCATCTTGAACTTCTTGATCGCCGCCGCCGCTTTGTCCTTGCTCGTCAGGAGTTGTAGCCACATGTAGCGACTGTAATAATCCACGAGCAGGAGGAAGTACCGTCGACCACCATTTGTGGATGGTGTGATCGGCCCACAGAGATCGCCGTGGACGAGCTCGAGAGTGTTCGACGCACGATATTTTGCTGCCTTTGGGAACGGCAACCTCCTCAACTTTCCGGCCAGGCAGCTGTCACACAGCTCGCCTCTATGCTTGATGTGGGGTAGCCCTTGGACCATCTTCTCTAGCCGACCAAGCGCGTCGAAGCTGAGATGTTCGAACCGGGCATGCCACAGTCACGGCTCCTCGGTATGCCTTGCCACCAGGCACACCGACTGCTCTACCTTCAGGTTGAGTAGGTACAACCGGTTTTGGAACCTCTTTACCTTGGCAAGAAATCTCTGCTCCCGGTTCCTGATCCTAAGGACACCGTCCTTGATCTATACCTCGCTACCGCGCTCATCCAGCTGGCCAATGCTGATGATGCTCGAGCGCAGCTGCGGGATGTAATATACATCCATTAGTGCGCGGTGCTCCCCGTTCTGGCACCTGAAGATGATGGTGCCGCGCCCTTGGATTGCCACCCGTGAGCCGTCACCAAACTTCACCGTACCGGTAACATCGTCGTCGAGCTCGGAGAAGGCTTCCTTGAAGCTCGTCATGTGGTTTCTAGCACTGGAGTCCAGATACCACCGCTGCTCCTGGTCGGCGCCCACACGTCCGAGGTAGACTTGGGCGCGCGGTTCGTCGAGGTTGACAGTCTTTAAGGCCTTCCCAGGTTCTTCCACCATCGTCGCCTCTTCCCTTTCCTCAGCCTCGACGTCGTGCAGTGCACAGAACGTCGCCATCAGGATAGTGGCCTCATCCTCATCATCGGCTTATGCCAGATGAGCCTGAGCCCTCTTCTCCTGCTTGCGGTTTGGGCACTCCCGTGTCCAATGGCCCATCTTCCCACAACGTCGACAGGCGTTGAGGTTGACCTGCTTCTTCTTCTCCGAAGAAGCCTTGCCGCGGCGCTTACCATCGCCATCATGGCTGGAGGTGGCTGCCTTCCTGGAGTTCCTTCGAGCAGCCCACTCTTCTTCCGTCAGCAGCAGTTTGCCGCTGTCCTTCGTTGCTGTCGCCTGCTTCAGGCGCTCGTCCACCGCCCGTAGACGGCCTGTCACATCCTCAATGGTTAGGGTGGACAAGTCCAACATCGTCTCTATGAAGAGAGTGTTCTGGATGTACTTTGCGGGCACGGAGTGGAGGTACTTGGAGACCGTCTCCTCTTCGTCGATGGTGATGCCGTGGCTCTTCAGCTTGCTGATGAGCGTTTGTAGGCAAAGGGAGAAATCCTCCACTATTTCACCATCCTTGAACTTGAGGTTGACGTACTCCTGCTTCAGAAGCTGGGTCGTCGCCTTCTTTGCGCAGTCGGAACCGATGCGCATCGCAGCAATAGCCTCACACGCCTCCTTAGCAGAGCTCTTCGCCCCCAACGACTCCCTGTACTCCGCCGGTACAGCAGCGAGGATAGACTCCAATGCTGACAATCATCTTCCTCATTGTCGGTGCCTTTGTCAACAGCATTCCAGAGCCGTCGGGCTCTGAGCTTGATCTTCATGGTCACCGACCACTCTCCATAGTTGGTGCGAGTCAGCGTCGGCCAACTGGTGCCGCTGACCTCCCGCACCGTGTGAACAACAACCTCCGGTCGTGGCTGGGC